CTATTCTTTTTATGCTCAGCTACTAAGATTTCCCTTCAGTGGTAAAATTCAATATCTACAACAGGCACAGTAAAGACGTTTACAGTAAGTCTTTCTACGACAGACCAACGGACCACGAGTGCCCCTGTTGGTCAAACAATTACCTGCGGTACGTGTCTGTACCTCTCACTTTGAATGGCTGCATCTGTACATGTGGATCTTGGTGATAGACTACAGTTCTGCCTTTAACACAATAGACCCCCAGAGTCTCTTTCACAAGATAATGGACATGGGTGTTAATCCTGCCGTGTGTTTCTGGTGTCTAGATTTTTATCAGGCTGGAGGCAGATGGTCAAACTACATCAGAATCTCTCACAGCCACTGGTTTTAAATACAGGAGCCCCCTAAGTCTGTCCCCATTTCTGTACTCCTTGTACAATACTGACTGTGTCTACTACCAAGTCTGTGAAATCCATCAAGTTCAGAAAGAGCTAATGACAAAAAACACACAGTCTCTGTACAGGAAGGAGATAAGTGCTTTGGTGACCTGGTGCGGTCAAAACAATCTCCAGCTCAATGTTAGTTTACCAAAGAGGTCCTTTTTCATTAAAGGTGTTACAGAAATGAACTATAGCCTGTTGTGAGTGATGGTCAGATAGTAAGGAAATAAAGGGAAAGAGTGGTATATTGCAACACAACGGGGGCTCCGGCGGGCGCCCTTGCCGCATCTGGTCGGCCCCATCCCGACTGGAGGCTTGAACCCACGACTTCCGCGTCTCTCTGCAGCGACCTAGCCCCGTGAGCTAAAGAGAGATCTCTCTACAGTCCAGTAGCTGTAGTCCTGCTATCACAGGGAAGGGCGGTGACGTCACCTGCTCTGGTACGCCGGCTCTTACACACAGTGCTTGTCGGCCATAAGCGTTACAATAAAGAAAATAAAAGGAAGAAAATTATATTAATTAGATAAGAAGAAAGATGTCCACTAACGTTGGGGGAATTGTGTTTTATCTGATCCTGAACTGCACACAGAAGCGTTTCTTTAAGAGATTGTAGTTGATATTTTATCACAAATCTGAGTGGAGCAGCTAAAGAGTGGTGTGTGCCTCAGTTTAAGAATTTAAGAATTTAAATTTATTTTAAATTTAATTCAATTTATTTTAAGTTTTACATGAAATCCTGCATTGTTAAGAATGTACATTATTATGTTGTTGTAAGTAAACCGTGGATATAAATTTTCAGTTGAACATTATTCACACACGAACTGTGCAGCTCGCAGGTGATTCACTCATCCTGACTAGGTGGCGCTAGAAGGTGCAGTAAGTTTATATAGGGTTGCAGAAACTCCTCTTTCTTAGCCTCGCTCCTCGATTGTTTTGAATCCGCGGCAGCGCTAACGAATGTCGTCATTATGCTGCGCGGTTGTGCAGATATTTTTCCTTTTGGTAGTGATTCAGTCATTTCAGATGAGTAATAAAGGTTTTTCGGATTAAAATAAACTTTCAGCTAGTCAGTACGCTACCTGATGATAGTTGTGTCCGTGTTTGAACAGATCAGAGGATTCAAAGAGAGATCTGTGCATATAAATAGAATAAAAATTTAAAAAATAGTTTACCTCGGTCAGCAATTGTTTCCGACCGGCTCTGAAGAAGGATGGCGGAGTGCTTGTTAAATCTGCAAACCGAGCTTCACTCTTTCATGGAGATTTTACTCAAATCCATCGTGTACGAATTGTCAGACGTTTTCCGAAACAGGATGCGTGACTCTGAAGACGAGTTTCAAGACAAACTCCGCAGAATCTCCCAGATTCTGGTGAGACGGGCAGTGTTTAGAATCACACAGTGTGTGGAGGACAGTTTCGGGAGTGAAATGGCGCAGCTGAAGAAGGAAAACGAGAGCCTGAAGCGGAGATTGCAGTTGTGGGAGAAGTGGTCGGGAGCAGGGGGAGATCTAGGACAGACGGATCATTTTGGACACACGCTTCCGTATGAGATCACTGCAGAACTAAAAGAAGAAATGGACACGAAACTGGAGCTGTTAGGTTAGTGCAGTGTCTTGTATGAAGTCTGTGTGTGTGTGTTTAAAAACAGTGTCTTTAATTTTCTCACTGGTGAGATGCAGAGGGAAGTAGGTAAGATGTAGCAACGGGTTATGGTTATGAAAACATCTGTAATATAGTAACAGGGCTGAAAACATGACATTCAGACTAGGGGTGGGGAAAACAATCGATTCATAGATGCATCGTGATTCTCTCTTATATGACTCTGCATTTATGCACAAAACTCTATAATCGATCTTTATTTTTTATATGTACAGTATTAAACCTTTCAGATAAAAACAATACAACGTAAAGTAAAGGAAAAATAGAGCAAATAATAATGGTTTAGTTTTGGGGGGCTTAAGACGAAACGAATTGCGTGGTGAAACGTAAAACGTGTAGGTTAACAATGCGCCATCCTTACATTTGAACTAAGCTAAGCTACCCGGTTTGTGAAGATGGACAAACTCCGGCCTGCACCCTCCGCTTGGAAAGCCACCGTATGGGCACATTTTGGATTTTATTAAGTAAAAGGTAAAAATGAACTGGATAAGAGCCATGCAGTGTGTGTGCAAGCTGTTTCATAACAAGATAAAATAGGGAATACAACGAACATGCGAAATCTATGGAAGCCAGTTTCCGCCAGGGAGTAAAAAAAACGCGCTATGGTATCTCGCAATTGCGACCTTATATCCCAAATTGCGTCTTAAAAACTCAGAATTCCGACTTTATATCTCAGAATTGCGACTTCGAAATACTCCACATTTTATTTTCTGTCCTTTAGTTATTGTAACGGATTCGGGTTCTAGGGCTTGTACCCTCACCGCTCACATCCTAGTTCGTGCCTCACTGCATTGACTCGAATCCAGGTCTTGCCAGCTGAGCTCAAGAGCTAAACCGTCTTTATCCCCGCCGGACAACATCCCTGTTAAGCGCAGGGGAGGGCGGTGCCGTCACCACACTGCAACCAGATCGTGCAGGATCATACGATCTATAGGCCTGAAGACTTGTCAAGTGCTCTGATCAAATTAATTACACTAATTTTTATGGAATCCCATTTCCGCCAGGGAGGCTTCAATAGTACCCGGATGAAATATTGCCTTTTGATTCTTTAAATTTCGAATATAATTTAAGTAAAAAAGGAATTGTACTTTAAAAGCATTAATAGAGGGAGCAGTATTAGACCATTTACTTTTCTGGACAAAGTATTTCACCAATATAATTAACAGATTAATAATAAGAACATTTCCTCTATCCAAATCAGATCTGAATAAATTAAAAAATAAAATATCAAAATCTTTAAATTTAACATTTACCTTTAAATGTTTAGCAATAAGATTTTGAAACTCTATCCAAAACAATTTTGGTACAATTCCTTTTGTATTTAAAAAAGAAGGTCTTCTTTAGTTCAGCTGGCAAAACCTGGGTTCGTGCCCATGCAGTGAGGCACGAACTAGGGTGGGAGCAGCGAGGGCACAAGCCCTAGAACCCGAATCAATCACAAAACAAAAGGACAGACAATGAAATGTGGGCCATTTTGAAGTCGCAATTCCGAGATACAAAGTCGTAATTGTGAGATATCTTAGTATGTTTTTTTTTACAACCTGGCGGAAATGGGTTTCCATCACATTTCACGTTTCCATCCGGAGATGGAGGAAAAATGGCCTGTTCTTGTTGCTGCTGAACAGAGTACCCTCGAGCAAATGTCAAAGGTTCCACATAGTTCAGAGAGGGCGAAGTGAATCACCAGGTCTATAGCACGTTTTATCGCAAAAGATTTGTGCCCCTACACCATTGTTGAAAACCCGGGCTTTCACTTAATGATGCGAACACTGGAGTCGAGGTACAACATACAGTCTAGGCGAGAGAGTTTTCTCCACAGGAGGGGATATAGTTACAACAGCGCAGATCACTTACACCAGAGCATGAAGACCTGCTCCTTGTCTTACACAATAATTTACACATTCCAGCATTCACCAGCTAAACATATTACAATGTTGCACTTCTGTGCAATATTATGATTTCATTTTGGCCTTCTATTTCATTTCTCAGTTGTTTATTGTTTTATATGATGTTTAACAACAAAATATTGTTTTGTATGAGAGGTTCTAGAGATTTTTATATATTTTGTATAAAAGCCATTCTTGATTTTGATACACTACAGAACAGAATGTTTTGATACAAAACATTTTTGTTGGGGGGTGGTCTATGCCTGTTGTTTATCTAACAGGAAGATTTGGTTTGAAAAGAAATGTATAAATAGTAGCACCTTTATGTTAAGTGATTCGGGACACGCTGAAGTCCATGTTATTTTAAACAAAGGATGCTACTAAAGACACAATTTCTTTCTCTTGTTGACTCTTTATAATGCTGGAAAATATGATGATACATGTAACCTGCCAGTTGGCTCATTTCCATTTCTTACTATATTGAGTCAATAAAAGATAATGGAAATAAATTCAGCCGAGTGAATAGCATTTACTATGATTCTAAAGCAGCAAGTAGTCACACAGTAAGAAAAAAAATCATCATGTATAGAAAAAAAATTGGGATGCATCGAGAATCGATCTATAATTACATTGTGGAACCCTGAATCGAAATCGAATCCAATCATGAGGTGCCTAGAGATTGCCACCCAGACTAACATTGACTCATATATTTACTTATTAGAGAAACACTGTAAATTTTCGTTATGGTGGTCTGGTTTAGATTTTTTTGAGTATTAACAACAATTATACATTTTATTTGAAATGTTTTGCATTATTGGTATCTATTTTAATGGAATGATTACTTTTGATATGTTGTCTGACCAGGAAAACGTACTCATTTCCCTGTGAAAATGTGTTATTTTCAGTGCTTATTAGTTGTGATTAATTAAAAAAATAGCGATTTATGTAGTGAGTTTATGTTCTGTTTAGAAAAATATTGGGGCATTTGGTTCAGTAACTGGAAAATTAATGAGGAATTACTGTATTACTGTAGTAAAGAAGGAAATAATTTTTCCTGTGAAACTTCAGGCGATAGAAAGGATTTGTAGGCTGCACATTACCTCTTTTATTACCCAGTTAACACTTTCTATAGAGTTTGTTGTGTTTACTGCTGTCCCAGGGGTATTAACTGTCATGAACATGCAGAGGTGTTTCTAACTGTGACAGTTCAGGACTCTGAAGGGAGACTGAGCTGTTCTCATGACTACAGGTGTCAGGACTCTTCTCCCTAGACAGGCTACCAGATCCCACAGCCCCTAGAAAACTGCTGGAGTCAGTAACTGCAGTTTTATTCTTCTAGCTACTACAGCAGAGTCAGTATCACCTCTACACACTTCAGAAAAGGAACAGCACAAGAAAAGGTATCCATAAGGCACATTCACAGAGAAAATGGATTCACACAGTAGTCCTGTGGAATCAGGTGAAGAAAAGTCTCTCTTCATCACTGTCCTGTTAGAAACAATAGCAACACAATCTTCTGACAAACACCTTCTTTCTTCACTGATCATCCTTCAATAAAGAGACACACACCAGGGTTTTCTTCCACATGGCTACACTCTGTACTCCTCAAGAGTTCTCACTCAGCACAAGTTGGCCATCCAGGCATGTTTCCTGCTTGTACACTTTTAAAAAAAACTCACACCCTGTCAACCTGTATACAACACCCCTTCCTCCCCCAGCATATCTGACACTCTGAAACCAGCCAATATTCAACACTCCTACAGCCCTCAACATTTCTCTCACTTTCAGGCCACAGGCCAGCCTGTATACAACACTCCTGCAACCCCAAGTGTCTCTCATCTCCAATGTCAGTCTGTGTACTGCAACCCCAGCATGTCTCTCTTTAACAGATCACCATGGATGGTTGTAGTGTTGGGGAAATCTGTCACTTTAAGCCCCAGTGATAACCTTTCTTTGTGCGTTTGTGCAAATTGGATGCCTCACTTAACATCTTTAGACCCTGCAGCATCTCTAGACGTTTACTCTCAGATTTTAGACCATTTTGAGAGCCAAGTCACCTGTCATTCACATGGCATCACAATGCCAGTGTGTAACCTTTCCACAACCTTTCTCTGTCTTCAACAAGCAATCAACCCACATTTCCTTACGGTGTCCTCTCTCTGTTTAAAAGAATGCACCATGTAGCACCTCCAGCCCTTAACATACAGATTCAGAGTATCAGTGGACTAACGACACTTTTTCAATCATATTGCCGAATCATGACCATAAGAGAACTTTCTCCCACAAGTTCCCTTGATGACACCCATAGAAATAGAGAGAAAGCCTATGGTCTTACCATGCTGACCTGAAAGTATATGCCCTGCTATTCAGTCACTAAGAATTATAGCAATGTTTGCCTAACCTGCAGCATTAAGATAGAATCTTATGAGAGCGGCGCTTTTAATTTAAGGATGTCCAGAACTCCTACCTTCAGAGCTGGGCTAGGTAAGAGCTAACCTTGACATCTCTTCTACTGGCAAAACCTCATACTGGGATTCCTTTACCTTCAGAGTCACCCTCAGGGAGAGCTTACCTTTGCTCCTAACATCACTACTGGTTCAGTCTTAAGTCAGAGTCATAGCTAGTCATAGTGTCGTACTTGAGCCAGATCTCCAATCTGTTTATTCTTCATACTGATATAATACTGATGTGCTCACCTTCAACCACTTACCAAAGAGCAATAACCTTTCTCTCTTTTTACAATTCCCTCCGGAACTGTTTAATGTAACAGACCTTTCATGATCCCTTATTATGAGTTCACAGTATCCTCTGAGAGTGTCATTTTAACTTTCTACCTTAGAGGGAAAATGACTTCCTCTGAAGTCACTCTAAAATTGTAACTAATCACCGAGGCCTTTACCCGTAGACTTCAAGCCCAGTGATCCTGATACCTTCTGATACCATAACCAGGTTGTCCCTCAGTTAAGTGGCTAATCATTAAAAACCGAAGCATAACCCTTCTTCTTTCATCATTACCTAACCAGCAAGACAAGAAATCTCTTTCAAAGTCTGTAC